GGCTTGAGTGCCTGAGTCTTGCCGGCCCCTGAGCTGTGGGCCTCTCTTCTCTCTCCATCAGCAGCTTGGACAGGTGCTGTCTCCGCAGGTAGGGGGCAGATAGGAATAAATCAAACTCCTTCCTTATGTGGAGCCAAGTCTCACTTACGTGTAATTCCCAAGTTCCCATCTGTGGGTCAGGTCTTATTTCATAGGATGAGTTCTTAGGCTTTGGTGAGAGCTCTGGTCCCCCTCACCCACAGTTCCTTCTTCCGAGAAATCTTTCAAAGTCACGGGCGAGCCTTTTGTCTCACTTTTAAATTTTTTTGGTTTTTTATTTTTCGCTTTCCATTGCTCAGGCTCAAACTGTGTCTAACAGTGTGACAGACCGTTTCCAGTTTCCAGATCGCTTTTAGTCCAACCTGCTAACCTGGGTTCTGTACGCCCCTGACCCAGCGCTCAGGCCCTGGGACTCTTCATACCTTGGCTTCATGTTGACCCACGCATCCCANACCCAGCACTCAGGCCCTGGGACTCTTCATACCTTGGCTTCATGTTGACCCACGCATCCGATGGCCCACACATCCCGTAGCCCACGCATCCCATGGCCCAAACATCCCGTGGCCCACACATCCCGTGGCCCACGCATCCCGTGGCCCATGCATCCTGTAGCCCACACATACCGTGGCCCATTCAGGGGCTCTGTGTGTCTCCACCTCAGTTAGTCACAACCACCTCCTTAGCTCACAACTGGAACCAGCTTTGGTCCCCTGGCTCCCAGAAATAATCTGCACTGTTTTCAGAAAGATGCCTCATTGTCTTGTCCCAGTTGGTTGGGATGAAGGATCCATGTCTGTGCAGGACCATGAGGGCGTCTGCGGAGAACCTCCATGGCTTCATTGTCCTTCCTTCTCGGAGACTTGGTGTCCATGGCCCTGCTGAACCTCTCTCCCGAGCCCTAAAATAGTAAATGTATCATCAGGTGCAGAATTAGCCTCTCCTGAGGAATACAGTACTGCAGAAGGAGATTCTGTGTCATTAAAAGGGCGAGTGACTGTCCGGCCGGTGTGACTCGACAGTTGAGCATCAGCCTTCGATTCCCGGTCGGGGCACATGCCCGGGGTTTCGGGCTCGATCCCCAGCAGGGGACCTGCAGGAGGCAGCCGATCAATGACTCCCTCTCATCAATGTGTTTCTCTCTCTCTCTCCCTCTCTTCCTCTCCCTGAAATCAATAAATATATATATATTTTTTAAAGGCAGTGACTGCTGAAAGCTTCCTGTGTGGGGCGTTGGATTCATATCAGCCATAAGGACACCCTGACAACTCGCCCGCCCAGCTCTCGGGGTCGGGCGCGGCCTCAGCTCCTGGTCTAAAGTCACTGGGACGCGGTAGCTTGCAAAGAGCGTTTAAACGTAGTTGTCCTTCTCACATTATCAGTCCCCTTTGAAGTCAGAGCCATTCTGCTTGGCTGGTTTCCATTTGAGCTGCTGCTTATATTATTTAGGGATTTGTTGGGGGGTGGGGAGGAAGTTCTTAAAGGATCTTAGGACCCAGTCTCAGGATGGCTGATTTCAATTAGCACAGGGAGCTCTGAGATTCTGTGAACGTGTCACTAGTAGACCGTTTAGATCGTAACGAGCAGGACGACATTGCTGGATGTTTCATGGCACTGGTCAGGGACGCAACTGATGGGCCCTTTAAAAAAAAACACAAGTTCCTAAACGTTTTAGGGTCGTAAGTCTGAGTTAGAAACCACACTGTCCTGACAGTTCCAGCTCTGACTGCCCAGCAGTTTTATCTTGCTGTGTGTAGCATAACCGGATGTTTATAAAGTCCGTGAGCAAATTTAAAATATGATAACTTCGGATGTGTGTGTAACAGGGTCACGGGGCAAACACGGAACGTGAATGTCACTCATAGCCTCACACGGGGTCCAGCTCAGACATCCGGCCTAGCCACACACCCTCTGGGTCATCGGCAAAACCTTGTTAATCGCATCAGTGATGCTAATTATAAACCCCTCACAGAAGATGGTTTTGGGGGTGAGCCATCTGCCATTACAGCAGCTCGTGGCTGGCTTCATTGTAGCCGACAGTATATAAATTCTTCAGCACACATCGTCTGTTAGATAAAGTTAAAGGACCCTGATAAATTAAAGACTCTGTGAACCCTTCCTTCTTCTGAGAATTCAGTTTTTTTCTAAACTGTCTAAGCCCCGAGCTGTTGGAGTGTTGGCAGCACCAGGACTCCATAAAGACACCAGGTGACCCTGCGGAGACCTTCAGCGGAGGGCCAAGGACAGGCTTCAACCCCCCGTTTCCAGAAAAAGTCAGGGACTTGTGAACGCAGCTCAGCAAAGGAGTCAACTCCCTCTCACTTTTATTTCAGGGAGGGCAGTGCCCGTACTATTTGATCTGTGTTTAAATCCCTTGCCAATCAATGGGCCCTGCCCACGGACCTCCTTCGGGCCCCTCGGTCATTGTCACCTGAGTTTCTGACCCGAGGCGGCCTGGTCAGGTGGCACAGCCCACCTGCGCTGGGCGGGAGTCTCGGCCGTGGCTGGATCGTGAGGAGCTGCGGCTCAGACACAATGGTCTGACTTCATCTCCCGCTGGTATGTGCAGGTTGAACGGGTCAGTCTCGGAAAAGTAATATTTGAAGGCATCTTGGTACGTTTTTTTGTTAATTCCCACCCGAAGATATTTTTTCCATTGATTTTTAGAGAGGGTGGAAGGGAGGGGAGAGAGGGGAGAGAATGAGAAACATCGATGGGAGAGAGAGACATCAACGGGTCGCCTCCCGCATGCGCTCCCACTGGCGCTGGGGATCGAACCCGCAACCCAGGTACCTGCCCTTGACCAGGAATCAAATCCAAGACCCTTCTGTGCTCGGGCCGACTCCCTACCCACTGAGCCACACCCGCCAGGGCACATCTACGTGTATTTTTAAATAAGTGAGTTCCAAGTATTCTGGTGATCCTGCCACACGTGTTACAATAAGACCTACAGTCCCCGGAGCCCTCTGCCCGCAGAGCCCCAGCTGCAGCCGCGATGGATTGTCCACCGGCCTTCCTGTCCCAGGGCCCCTTCCCCCGTCACGAAAGGCTCTGACTTTTCCCAGGGACCCTCATGCAGTCAGTTCATAAGCACTTCACAGAGCTCTGCTTTCTCGCAGGCGAAGCTAATCCTCACTCGGGCTGGTTTTCAGCTCAAGAGCCGGGCGTCTAGTTCTTTCTTCCCTTTTGTAGCCACTTAGGGCACCTTTGCTGTCCACGAGTGGTTGCTCCCCACGACCCCTCACATGAAGCCCCTTCCCTCCGCAGGAGTGCACGAACCTCTGCTGCAACGCCACCTCCTGCACCCTGAGGCCAGGCGCGGTCTGCGCCCACGGGCTGTGCTGCCGAGACTGCCAGGTGAGTGCTCCGGCCAGGTGAGTGCTCAGGCCCCGGGTGAGTGCTCAGGCCACAGTGAGTGCTCCGGCCCCTGGTGAGTGGTCCCGGCCCCGGGTGAGTGCTCAGGCCCCGGGTGAGTGCTCGGGCCCCGGGTGAGTGCTCCCAGCCCCGGGTGAGTGCTCGGGCCCCTGGGTGAGTGCTCGGGCCCCGGTGAGTGCTCCCGACCCCGGGTGAGTGCTCTCGGGCCCCAGGTGAGTGCTCAGGCCCCAAGTGAGTGCTCAGGCCCCAAGTGAGTGCTCCCGGCCCCAGGTGAGTGCTCGGGCCCCGGGTGAGTGCTCCTGGCCCAGGTCGCCCACAGATCCCGGCAGTTCCACAGGGCACACGGGGTGGCAGGGCGGCTTCCCCGCGCCACGGCTGCAGGAACCGTCACTCCTCCTCGGAGCCGGCATTAGCTCCTGTTTTATCATCTCCCAGTCTCCGTGCAAAATGCACCTTTCATGCTGTCATCTGTGACAAATCAGTTATGAGCTGAAAAGTAATCGGCCCGGGGAACGCAGGCTCAGCATTACATGTTCCAATTGCACTGTGGGAGGCACGTGGGGTCCTGTCACCACAACCCGGAGGAGCACTTGAGGATCCCGCTCCTGTCATCTTCACGCCGGCTCCCTCTGCTTGACCCCAGCAACGCTGGCCGCTGGGCGGAGGTGCCTCACAGCTTGTCCGGGGCCTTCGCACGACGTCCTCCTAACAACAGGTGCCGCCGGCGCCCAGCCCCACCCCGCCCCGCGTGGTGGCCTCACACCTTCGCCATCGCTTCGGCCACCCCTGCTTTCACTCAGGCAGGTCCATGGTCTGTCTCACTATCCAGAGCTGAGACCCAGCACAGAAGCCTGAGCCGATTCAGAGGCTCCCAGGGTAGAATTTTATTCTTGTTAACGAAGCAGTGGCCTCGTGCTTGCGGGAACCTCCGTGACTCAGAGTGTGTTAAAACATTTGCATTCCACTTAAAACCCCTTCCTACTTGTGATTAACTGATGGGACCATGAAAAGCAGCTGGCACCCCCCTGGCACGTGGCAGCTGTTGGCAGAAGGTGCCTGGAAGGGCTGGGGCAGGGTAGGTCACAGGCTGTGCAGCCTCAGACAAGCCACTGAGAGTCTTAATTTTTTATTTAAAAAAAATTTTTTTTTTTAATTTCAGAGAAAAGAAGGGGGAGGGAGAGAGAGATGGAAACATCAAGGATGATCGAGTCATTGATCGGCTGCCTCCTGCACCCCCCTGCTGGGGATGAAACCCGTAACCCTAAACCCTGACCAAGTTCACGGGCCGACGCTCAACCTCTGAGTCACGCCGGCCGGCTGGGGCCTTAATTTCTTCAGCTACAGAGAGCTGGGCACCGGCCGGATGGTTCCCAGCATCCCAGGCCACCCCTGCTTTATCTCTTCTGCCCCTCACCCCACAAAGCCCCGCAGACGGGCTTCCAGCTCTGAGGTTTGATGATAACCTGAGCGGCTGTTGCCCTCGGAATTACTTTTGTCAACTTGAGCACAAACGCTAGTGCTGTGAGTGCAGACCTCACCTGAAAGCACACGAAGGGACTGGAAACCGCAGGTCGTTTTCCTAAGAATCCACGTGTCCATCAGGCAACACCCCCCCCCACAGCCCCCGAGGGGCAGGTGCCAGCGGCCAGCTTGCCGCTCATCAACCTTAACGGTGCAGGAAGCTGAAGAGAGGCCGCCCTGGATGCCCCCTTACAGAGGAAGGGCCGCTGTCCCCCGGAGCAGGGCTGTTCAGCGACTCCCGCTGCTGTGAGGGGACTGGCTTTGACATCCTCCCGTCGCTCACGCCTGGCCTGCTTGGGGCACCCCAGGAGCTCTGCGGGCAGCCTGCGCCCCTTCCCGCAGAGCACACGCCATAGCCTCTCCCTCCTTCCAGCTGAAACCCGCGGGGACGGCCTGCAGGGGCGCCAGCAACGCCTGTGACCTCCCCGAGTTCTGCTCAGGCGCCAGCCCCCACTGCCCGGCCAACGTCTACCTGCACGACGGGCACCCGTGCCAGGGTGTGGACGGCTACTGCTACAACGGCATCTGCCAGACCCACGAGCAGCAGTGCGTCACGCTCTGGGGACCAGGTACGTGGTGGCCCCGCTCGGGTCGGGGTGGGGCGCACTGCTCGCTGGAGGAACCGGCTCCCGGGTGGGCTGGGGACTGCCAGGCGCCAGGCGCAAACCGGAGCCGGCCCTAAGGAGCTCGGCGGCGTCCGGTGAGAGACGTGTGAGCACCTACTGTGTGTCCACGGGTAACAGGGATCAATCAGCCGTGACCCCTGCCTCAGATTGCTCAACGGGTAGTTGGACAGACAGATGGGCAGACAGAACTTCCACCACCACCCTGATTGCGTAAGTGCTTCTTAGAGCTCCAAGGAGGACCCCAGCCAAGGGCTGAGGGTGCCGGAGAATGTCCCTGCGGCCGGAGGGCTGAGGGCGGCCTTAGAAAGGCCCCGGGCAGACCTGGCGCACGCTGCCTGTGACCGGGAAGCAGAGGGATGGCAGGTGTGACCCAGGAAGAAGGTGGCTGGCTGTTCCCTGCTGCTCGCGTGGGGGACTCTGGGCTGGGCGCTCGGTACCATGTGTCCCTTCCTACCCTCCAGTGACCCCCGAGGTGGGGACAGTGCAAGTTCTAAGATTGAATGGACTCTCCGTGCGAAAGGGGGAAGATCCAGTCCCCTGTGTGTCCCCTGTGTGTGTGGCCCTCCACCTGGGGCCAGAGGTCCGGGGTTCATAGGGCAGCCCAGGCCCTGTGGGCTCCTCCCCAGGACCCGCTGCCCATCCAGCACCCACGCAGAGTATTCTCCAAGGCAGGCCCCTCCCAGTCTTGTCCTCTCGCCCTGCTCCCGCTGGCTGCAGGGGTGACCTCAGCTCTGGCCAGAGATCCCGCTGTGGTCAGCTGGTCAGAGAGGCAGGCGAGCCCCAGTCCCGGCTCCCGGGGGAGAGAAATCTGAAGTGGGCCTTTGTCAGACCGCGTGGTGAGGTTTTGCTTTTGGGAGACACGAAGGAAGTCAGCTAGGACAGAAGGAAGTCAGCTAGGACAGAAGGAAGTCAGCTAGGACAGAAGGAAGTCAGCTAGGGCAGAAACAACGGCAGACATCAAACCTCGGGGTGGCAAGTGATGTGAAAACCACGACCCCAGCAAGGAGAACAGGGCTTGGCCCTGCCCGGGCCCCTCCTCACAGCCCAATGTGCCCTCTGCTCTTGGACTCTCTGAGGAAGGAGAAGGGCAGTGTGGATGCAGCAACGTGGGGTAACACAGCCCCTCACCTCACACCCAGCTCTCCCAGTGAGCCTCAGGCTTCTTGGATGCACTGGGGCAGGTAGAAAGAGGGGGCCTGGGGCCTGGGGCCTCAGAGCTTCATCTGTGGACCCTGCCAGCCCCCAGTCCTGGCCCCCTTGCCTGCCAGGCTGGGGGGACCCCCAGGCCAGAGCAAGGTCTCAGGTCTCAGACTAGGTGAATTCTTTGTGGTGATAAGCACACAGTAGGCCCTGACTATTCACACGCCAGATGGTTGTACGGCTCTGAATGGGTTAGTGACTTCAGACGCCTTTTAGCCAAGTGAGGTCACCTTGGGACAGCGGCTACTGCTGCTGGCCCAGTCTTTGTGGCATGAAGCGTCCCTGGTGGCCGTCCCTTCCCTTGCTCTCCTCCAGACCCGGTCACCTCCCGTCCTTGAGTTACAGGAATGTAACCATGCTCCCTTCCAAGGAGCTTTTGCGGCCAGAGCGCGAGGCCCCAGAGCCTTTGGGGAGAGATGAGCAGTCTGTGCCCCGCCGTGTTGCAGCGTCTGGCCCCGGGTCCAGGATGAGGTCAGATGGGGCTCCTCGGCGCGCTCTGACCACCGCCACTGTGACTCAGCTGGCTGCAAGCCTTCGCTTCTTGGTGACCAAACCTGGTATTTATTGTCTCATCGCCTTAGTCCTTCAGCTGCCTGACCAGAGAGGGAGAGAGCCAGACAGGCGGACACACCGACAGTCTGACTCACGGACTGGGCTTTCCAAGAGCAAGAGCAGCAGGAAGTCACCTGCGTTGAACTTTCTTTGTCCTTGTGGCCTGGGTGAGGCCGGAGGCCTGCCTGCCTGGGGGCCACACCACCCACCTGGGCTCCCGAGGGCTCTCCCCGCCCCCTTGCCCTGCTCCCGAGGAGGCCTCGGCCTGGCAGCGGTGGGTCCGCCCTGTGTTTGCAGGAAGCTCACAGACGAGTGAGACCCTCAAGTCCTGGGCTGCAGGAAGGCTGCGATGCGGGCGGGCAGGAGGGGATGGGCCAGCCTGGGGGGGGCAGCCAATCAGGATGGTGTCGTAGCTGAGGTGCCCTGGAGTTGCCATCTGCTGGAGTGGACAGGAAGGCTGCTTCCTGCGGACCGAACAGCGGGGGTCAGGCACACGGAGCCGTGGGGCCGCTCGGGGAAAAGGCAGGCTCTCTGCGGGTCTAGAGCTGCGCTGTGGCCTGGAGAGCAGAGTCCCCGTCTGTCGCCCCCATGCTATCATTTATTAAATGTTCATCACCATCTTGCTGGTGTAAGATGCTGACTCGAGAGGCCGGATGCTGCCCGAGTGACATGCTTCCCACAGCCCCTGTGGCTCGGGCGGGGGTGGAGGGAGTTCCTCGGCCAGGCGGGCCCCGGGCCAGCTGGATGGCCGGGCCGAGATCCTTTCCATGCTGCATTACAGCGGTCAGTTCAGATTTGCTTTCGGGCTTCAGAAAAGGAAAACTCCCTGTCAGGGATGCGTTGGCCGCATCTCGTCTCCCGTCCGTTCGCGAACACCCTGGATGCTAGGAGTCACTGAGCTCCTGCTCTGGGGGCAGGACGCCTGCCCCCAGGTGACCAGCCCAGTTCCTGACTCAGCCCGGCCTCCCCAGTTCCGTCCGGGAAGTAGCTCCTCTCTGGCTCTGGCCGGGTGGAGCTGACCGGGCGGAGCCCTGCCCCAGCTCACCATTCCCTTTGGAAATGAGCTTGCCCGAATCCAGGTGATATTTCACCCAAATGATCCTGCTTCCAGATCTTCCAGCAAAGAAAACGGTAAAAATTCAAAACAGATGCCTGCCCCTCCCAACTGGCAAAGCGACGCGCTCCTAGAACACCTTGTGAGTCTTGGGTGCTTTCGTTTGTTTTTCAAGTTATTATTGTTGATGGTGATCTCGTTGGGCAGGAGCTGAACTTTTTAAAATCTCGCTGCTTTTTCTGCCACATCTTGTATCTCGATGCCAGACACGCGAATGTTGCCAGCAGTCGGACCGTGACGTGTACGTGGCTGTTCTCGTGTAGCTTTGTCTTCACAGCCACAGAGATTCTCCGTCGGGGCAACTCGACCTTTATTCCTCCAGAAACGCAGCCGGACAGTTTCTTCTGGCAGAAAATCTACTTTTACCGGCGCCGTTTATCTGACCCACAAGCGTGCTCACTGAAAACTTGGAAACTCACGTTACGGATAACTATCCACGTGTCTATAGCCGCAAACGACTTGCATCCGAGAGAACCTGAAGGACCGGAGAAGGCCCGCGTGTCGGCTTTGCCGGCTCTGTCCCTCAGCGGGATCTGGCGTCGCCTGGTTGTGCCGCGTGAGCTGCCAGGCGGCCTGTAGGGCGAGCAGACGGGCCCCGCGGCCCGCGTCAGTCGCNCTTTGCCGGCTCTGTCCCTCAGCGGGATCTGGCGTCGCCTGGTTGTGCCGTGTGAGCTGCCAGGCGGCCTGTAGGGCGAGCAGACGGGCCCCGCGGCCTGCGTCAGTCGCCCGGCCCATGAAAGACTCC